CGTAACATCAAATAAATAGATTGTTAAATAAAATACATTAAAGAGTTTGCTGCTTTCAATATCGCCGGATAGAGTTGCAATGGCCTATATCCCGTCGACGACTGTAAAATTCCCAATAGAGTGGCTAGAGCAGTAGCTTTCATACGTAGGCCCTTAGATTCGGGTAATCTGACAGGATGAACAGCGTTGGCCACCTACAAATAAAAAAGTAGAGAATATTTTATTTTAAATATATATATTTAATATGTGTGTAAAAAACTTGCAGGAAGAAAGAGGATAAGTCTGAAAGGAATATCAAATGTATGACTTAGGATAAATGATATCTTAAGTCATTTAAATAATAACATCTGGAATGTAACGTTCCGATTCTAATAGTTTACATTCAGATTTATTTATTCTTTTATTAAAATTGAGATATATATGGAATTCATTAATTGCGAAACTAATGAATTGATAGTCATACTCCATATATGCCTTGATTTTATCTAAAGCTTATCAGAGAAGACAATGAGAAATTATTCTATACAGTTATTATTTCCTAAGATAACTGTAGACAAATTTGAAAAAAAGCCTCTAGATAGTCTAATTACATAACCATAAAACAATCTTTCCTAAAGTGATTATCAATGTCAGGGTGATATAACATTCTAAAGATTAAAATTGAATTAAATTACTTGTTCCAAGACTGACAATCCTGCTTCCTTTGTAGACAGCTCCTTGCATTCTTGCAACTGTTTAATAGTCCACGGTAACACATGCTTTTCGAAAACAGGGAAAAGTTCCTGCGGATCCCCTTTCTGAGCAATTTCGGCGTAAGACTGCAATAAACCTGCTTTTGCAGCTTCAGCGGTAGCGGCAGCTTTCGTATCCTTCACAAAACCTAATAATCTCACAGGAGCCTTCCTGGCATCCTCGACGGTGCAAAACTCCTCCATTAATTTCAGCACGATACTCAAATGCCGTTTGGCACAAATGCCAACCGCTCGTGCAAATTCCTTGGTAGTGCCGTGAGAACGCGCAAGTTCGACGAGCAGAGTGATATGAGCGTTATTGTTACAGGTAGATGCCAAAAGCGGCGCTACACCCAGTGTGTTTACTTTCAAAGCGAGTTCGTCAGCGAGTTTCGTACCCCATGATTCTCCTTCCAGTTTCACGCTCTCTTCTAACCATTCTACAATCTTTTTTTCCCAAATTAAATCCCTAAAAATTAAAAAAAATTAAAAATAGCTATTAACATAGATATACATATAAATAAAATTGGATATAAAAATATATATTAAATACCATTGCATGGCAGCTTTCATTTCTTTAGAGCTTTTTCGAGAGTTTCTTCTACCATGTAAAAATTCCTGCGAAAGTTCGTGCAGTTTTTCATCCCAATAAGGTTTCACTTGATGACCTATCAGAGGTGCTGCCGACTTTAAAAAGGTTATTACTGCAGGTCGATTAACCGGATTGCTTAACAATTCCAGGCATCTGCCTAAGACTTTTGTACCAGGAAAATCCCTCTCATTTGTTGAAGAGTTTTTATCACGTATTATTTTTACCGCTAATGGAGACAGTGAACGTAGCACAGATGTGATCTACTAACAAAAAAAGAGTATTAATAATTGAATTAAATTTAATACATCATAAATATACATCTCTTAGATAAAGAGAATTGTTATTTACGGATGTTATGCAAGCCGAATCCAGCAATGCACTTATCAAACACGGCCATAGCCAAGATTCGACACCATCAACTGTCGTTGCGAGCAGATACAAAGCTTCGGAACATGCTTCCATATCGTCACTCTTTATTTCGCAGTGTGACACCTATTTTAAGACAAAGTTAATTTCTCAATTATTTTTCTTTAATTTTTTCTTAATTTGGACATCGTTTATGTACCATATAACGAACAAATTTAGCCCTTTGTGACGGCAATAAAGGAAACGTCGGCCGTGCCGCGAGTGCCACTATAGCACCGACCATCTGGAGCGCACCATTTTCTCCAAGAGACTCCTGCAGGCTAAGTGCAATTCTTTGCAGGGATCCATCGTCCTAATAAAACAATATACATATTATACTATGATATACTTATTAATAAAATTACATATTTTTGTACCTCTGGTGGAAGAGTATTTATAAGATGTCTGAGGACTACCAAAGCACGGGCACGTTGATGAGCAATTGGTGATTTCAACTGCTGCAAGATTCTGCAAGAAAGTAAAAAATGAGCGATCAAAACTCTCACAATTTCATGAATAATTTAATGAAATATGAAAACGTTACCTATCGAGACCTTCTTCAGGATACAAAACAACCAATGATCTGGAGCACTGCAGCACTTCATAATGTGTAAGAACCGCATCCCGAGCTGCTTCAAAAGGACAAATACTGACAAATTCGGATAAAGTTTGATGAATAATCTCCATAAATGCACGAATTGCCTCTTTGTCATTTTCAGTCTCAACAGAACTTAAAATCATAGCTATAACTCTGTTAATGTTATATATATATATATATATATATATAAACGTTCATTAAATTTATTAAAGTATTTAAAAAAATGCGATCTACAGTGAATAAATAAACTTATTGTAAATTATGAAACTCACCTTACAGCAACTAAACGTACATTTTGCTTTCTACAAAGATTTAAACATACGGGTATCAATTTTACAATTCTCTCACTATCTTGTTGCACAGGCAGCAAAGATACCATAGGCACGAGTGTTGTTAAAATAGCTTCCGTTGATTTGGAATCGCGAGATGTTTTCAGCCAGTTGTTTATTAAAAAATCAAAAACAGAGCAAATTTCTTCTACAAATGTCTGCTTATTAATTCCCAGAGATGAGTCTTCTCCATTCATGATATAATCGTTTATAGCTTCGCAAAATTTAGAAATCACTAGAAATAAAAAAAATTAGTCAGAGTTTCATTAAGCTTAAAAGGAATATGATAAAATATATGAATATTTACTGAAGCAAATTGCCTGTTTGAGAATTTCTTCACGTATTTGATTCAACATTGGTAACATGATAGTCAATGTTATTTTAATGAAGGACAGCATTCCATATGGATTGGCTGCCGCGAGTTTTCCTATTGTAAAAACTATCGCAGGATTAGGAATTACCCCAGGTTCCAATCTACAAATATATAATTATCTATTATCAATAAATTAAAGCAGATCAGTAGCCTATTCAACTTTTATAGTGTATTTATGGCAAATAAGTTAACTTATAATTACAAAAGGGCATACTTAGTTAAAAGTCCACCTGTAGCTTGCATACAATGTATTTTGCAAAGCTCAATCAACAACTCGGCTGCCTCATTCTCAGTCTCTCCTATTAACTCATTCACTGCTATCTCAGCGAGAGATGTTACTAGATCTACAGTTAAACTTGTAGTTGAATGTTTGCATATGCTAGATATTATGTTCAACAAGGATCCCATGTGTTCTGTGGATATCTTTGAATAGCAACAATTATATAACAATCATGATACCATACATAAGAGCAATCTATAATATACATTATGATAAATATCAACCTTTTTATGCATTTCCCAAAAATATATAGCAGCATGGATGACAACTTCTGGATTCTTCTTACTTATTCTTTCAATCGATTCGATCACAGACTGTTTTACATCCTGATTCTTGTCGTTTAAAGTATCTAACAAGGCTCCAATCACAGCTGAAAATGGTTATATTTTAGTTATTTAGCAAGCATTTATTAAACTGCTATTCAACTGACAAAATAATTTTAAACTTATTTGCTTCTAATTGCTTATATTTCTACCTGGTAACTCGGAATTATAATTCTCTTCTAGTTCCTCCTTCATGTTTACAAATCCAGTGCTAGGTTCCGACGAGAAATATTATATTTCTAAAATCTTATATTTTTATTGACATTAGATTTGAAGAATCACTTGTCATACGTCGTCCCATGCAATGACAAAAGTATTTATTCTATCATTACACGCAATTAATGCAATCCATTTTTTACTGCGGTGGTTCCCCTGAACAACTTGCAAAAATTGTAAATTAACCTCTCAACTGTACCTCATCCACGGTGCAAATACATATCTGTATATTTTATCATATTTCCTCCTAGAAGAAATACTGTGCCACGAGACTTCTTTTAGTTTATTTCTTACAAAAGTACAACAATTACTAAAGAGTTGGATATTGCAATTTAATCTTTAAAATATTATAATAAATAAAATTATCTGCACGTTAACTGCACTCTTGTGCAGATATCAGAAATTTTATTTATTTTTTCTTGCAAGATATTGTTTTACATCAAATTGTAAATGAATTCTTCTGATTACAAGTATCGCAAATAGCGCAATTTTTTCAGTATTTAAAATCATAATTTGGTTGAAGAGAAATTTGTCCCTAATTACGCCACATCAATCGCCTCACTATCGATAAGGCGATATCGATAAGGCGAGACTTCGATAATTAAGTCAATATAAGTCGCAAAAACAAATTTCTAGAATAAAAGAACATTAGTTTTTACTGGCGATTAATTTATTGAATAATGTCATTAATTAAATCATTAATTAATGTAAATAGAATTACTTATTGTCCTTTGATATAAAAAGAAAGATTCAAGACAATAAATTGTGCAGTCCGAAACTTTATTGCAAACAATTCTGCCAGTCATCAATTAAAACTCGGTTTCACCAAATTAATTTTAATCTCGATTTAATTTACTTTTTATTTTTATTTAATTCTAAATAAGAAAAAAATAAATAGTAAATTTAACCAAAATTATTCTTACATTTATGAAATCAGAAATTATAATTGATTGATTAGAGGTCAAAGTCATATTAAATATCGCAAATGCAATAACAAATATTGTACATTATTTATTAACAATTCTTTAACAAATGTGTTTCAAATACAAAATATACAGTTTCGTATAATACAGATAAAATTGAATATATTCCTACAATGATTGTAATCGGTGTACAAGACGCAAGAAACCGATGGAACATTCAGACAGTTCTCTGGATTTTATGATGGATTCATGATAAGTTTAAACGGAGACTGGCATTAGCGTCATCCCATTGCATTCAATGGCGATTTTAACACCAACAATAAAGAAAGCAATGTTCTTCACCATTGACCTATGAAAAAAGGCAAATATTAATGTGAAATATTTATGTAAGCTGCAGAATTTGCAAATACAATAAATTAATATTTTCTCGGTTCAATTTATTCTTTATCTTTTTCTAAATCTAAGAATTAAAAAAAGATAAAGAGTAAGTTAAATCAAGATTAAAGTTAATTAAAGTTAATCTAATTAATCTGATGGAATTGGATCCTAATATATCCATTTATACTAATATACATTATTAAATTTAATCTTAATTTTATTTATTATCTTTCTTTAATTCTTAAAACTAGAAAAAGACAAAGATAAGTTCAACTGAGATTAAAGTTAAATTGGTAGAAATGGTCACAAATTCAACAAATGTATACTAGAGTTCAGCTACAAACCTAATAATAATAAAAAGAATAATAATTATTTCTGCGAGAAATAATTAATGAAATAATCTAACACGAGTAGAGGTTAGGATTGCTAGGTACCATCAAGTCTACTCTGCAATCTCTCAAAGAAAAAATGTAATTCATCGTAACTTACCACTTGAACTGATCGTAGTAGACATCTTTGAAGATCTTTCCGATTTTTTCCGTCACCATTGTTTGTCTTTTGTCTAAGAATTGGTGAAAACTTCAGTTGGTTCAAGTTTCTCGTCACCTTCGTTGAGAAACGTTTAGGGTTCAGAAGTTCCGCCAATTTCCGCCTTACCGCTTCGCTGATGTGTCTCTTCGCATCTTTTCCACTTCCTTCCTGCTTCTTTTTTCTGCTAAAGATCCAATGTATATTTGTGTCTCATTCCAAAGGCAAAGAGTGCAAATAAACGGAGCTAAAGCTCGATGAATTTGCACCTTCTGCACCTTTTGCACCTTCTGATCAATAAATAGCGCCCTTTAAAAGCAGAATTACATATGGGCAAAAGCGATACATTCATTCGACAATATAACGATCTATTTACTCAATAATTACGAAGTAATTAATCAGGTCAGTTCAGAAGAATAAAATTTTCTAACTGAGCAAAGTCACCTGTAAGCTTTAAAACAGTTGTAATAAGAGTAATGTGGAACATATTTCACAAATTAGTGAACAGTGCATAACGTGGATTAATTGGATTAATGATGGCCGAGTTTCTTCGTAAGGATAATTGAAGCTATTGCAAAATATTTGTTGACACATTGTATGGTTGTTCTACAAGGATGGGTGCAGGAAAAAGTCAGTTTACGGAAGAAGAGCTGCAAGATTATCAGGTAAGGCTGTTTTTTTTCTTGCTTTTGCTTATTTTTAGCTCTGATATTTTTTAATAATATGTTTTTCTTGATAGGATTTAACATATTTCACCAAGAAGGAAGTCTTATAGTGAGTATTATCAGTGTTGACATTTCCATTTATTTAAGTATATACATATTTTATTAAGATTTATTATATTAAAGATTGTGTTAATTATTATATGCAAAATATTTGCTTTCTTAACAGCGCAAAATATTTGCTTTCTTAACAGCGCACATCAGAAATTCAAGGCGCTTGCTCCAGAAAAAGTTGGACACAACAAAAATGCAAAGCTGCCAATGTCCAAGATCTTGCAGTATCCTGAGTTGAGAGTGAATCCTTTCGGCGACAGGATCTGCAAAGTCTTTAGCTCCAGTCAGGATGGTGATTGCACCTTTGAAGATTTCCTGGACATGATGTCTGTGTTTAGCGATGCTGCTCCGAAAGCTGTGAAAGCTGAGCATGCATTTAGAATATTTGGTAAGCGTACAGATGCCAATTAATTGTCCACGTTGAAATCATATCTTCAATTTAATAACGAAGTCTTATTTATGAAGATTTTGATGGCGATGATATGCTCGGTGTGGGAGATTTACGTCAAGTAGTCGACAGATTAACTGCACCCCAAAGATTAAATGACAGTGATATGCAGCAGCTTCTTCAGTATATCCTTGATGAAGCTGATTTAGATGACGATGGTGCGCTCAGTTTTGCTGAATTTGAACACATTATAGAGAAGAGCAGTGACTTTTCTAAGTAAGATGCTTCACAAGATCATACTTATAAAATCATACTTATAATTTTTCTTATTTCGTTAATAATATAAAAATTTTTTTTGCAGGAGTTTTCGCATTCGTTTATAAACGTATTAACGAATATGCCAATGAAAGACTGAATATTATAATTGAAATTTAATTATAAGACTTGGGCCTAATTCAGAAGAGAAAAAAATACGATCGACGCTACTGCAGAATGTGCCAAGGGTCTATAATTTGATCTAAGTCAGATGATCTTTTTTATTTTCGACCGAGCTTTTTTATTTGAAGTTGTAATAGAAGGAACAGATGTAAAAATGAAATGTTTAGATTCCTCAATTTAAAAATATCATATAATATGCCATTTAAAACTGCCAAACATACAGTGGTATTATTGATGTATGACGCTCCAATTTAATGAAAAAAAAAGTCTCCTCTTTTGAGATCAGTTATTAAGCATTTTTGAAAGCTATATCTTATGTAATGAAGTTGAATGAATGCACAAATTTGACTTAAAGTCATTATATCAACTTGTATCTATTATTCAGTCAGAAGACAGAAAATTCATCTTCATTATGAACTTTCAGAATTATATTTGTAATAAGCATTTAAAAATACGATACTCATATTGAAATATATTATTTAAAAATTTTGTTTCGATTGTTATACATTTGTATAATTTTATTTATAATATATATGTAAAAATGATATATAACATCTCTTATTCTATGTTACAAATGATACTAAAGCTATCCAGTTTTGCTTATATTATACTTTATTACAAAAATCATCAATCTGTTACAATATCCTGTATATTGTAACGATATCTCACACAATATGATATAAAAATGATGATTCCATAACATCCCAATTCACAATCGCTTATAACTTAGGACTGTAGATATCCACTAAAAATAAAAAAATAAATATCATTATTTGTCTACTAATATAGCACACACGGAGATTATCTCAAAAGTCATAAATATATCTTACGGAAGTTTCATCTTCATGAATATCCAACATGCAGTAAATGACACAAGTATGCTAAGGAATCCAACACAGATCAAGAGAACTCTATTAAGTTTTGGTGTTGACGGACCATGCGTTTGATCTAATATGATGAAACCCAATCCTCCCATCGTGAACAAGAAACTGGAGGCTAAACCTTCCATGATATACTGTCCATTTACACGATAAGGCATAAATGCTACCTATAAGAATACTGATTTACATTAAAGAAGCTAATTACTGGAGAATGAAAGTTTTCTCAACAATAATCTTACGGGTCTCGTGTGACCATGCTCATCTGTCGTAGATCCTACGCTGGGTGGCTCAACAATTACATCGTATATAATTCCTATAAGATAAAATCATGTAAAACTGAACTAAAATAAACATAAATGATAAACAATATTAGAAGCATTATAATGTATTATATTTAATTATATAAAATAATAATGGAAACGGAGAGAGAACATATTAAATTATATAAAACAACATAGTATTGCTAGGTAAATTATATATTATATAATATATAAATACTTTATAACATATTAACAATAAATACATAAAATAAAATTGTATTATAAAATAATATTGTATAAAATAATTTAATATTATTGTGTATAAATTATACATTTTATAACGCAATAATAATAAATAAGTCGAGAGAATTGACGGCTAACCTCCTGTCACCAAGAAGTACGACAGCAGTATGAAGGAGAAGACTATCATAGCACTAGGTTTCACGAACCAGGACGGTCTCTTTAATTTTAAGTTAGGCACTTCCAAGATTAAGAACGGTAATCGGTAAATGCACTCCATTCTGCCGCGACCGAGTCTAAGCTGCTACGAGATGAAAAAATAAAGGATTTCGCCCAGAAACATCCACTTGACAGCTCCAGACTTCAGATAGCCTGAGACAACCCGGCAACTCTGAAACAGCGTCCCCTTCACCTCCTTTCACCACCATGCCAGATGCCACACGGCTCAACCAGCGAACTAGCGCGGAGCGCGGGCACAGTGCACGAATATCTAGACGCGTGGCGTGGCGTTCTACCCGGAACTCCTGGAAGTCCCGGAAACGGTTTATCACTGGACGCCTTTCGACGCCGAGCGATTTGGAGCGATTGACTCTCGAGTTCTTGCGGTCGACCGAGGATAGTCGAGGACGATATCTGAAAGGGAAGAAAAAAAGACTCGAACGAACAAACAAGCGTGATAGCGCGCCACGTAAAATCTCGTCGCAAGCAGCGACGGTAATTAAGTTTCCATTAATTCTGATTAGTTCCCACGAAGTAACCTTGCAGCGGGCAGAGTGACAAGCAAATTTTTCATGACTTAATGCAAAGCAATTCCTTAACAGTTTGTTTGTTTGATGTATTGCTCAATTCTTCAGATACTGGTAAGTATGTATCGTATTGAATAATAGTATTTATTTTACATATGTCTAAATAATTTTATACTATTACAGAGTGTAAAAGTATGATCCCCGCAGAGAGAGATCCCTGCTGCGAATGTATGATGGATATATAGTCTGAAATCGCCAGGTAATTTTATGTTGACCAGCACAGGAGGAACATATCGTGAAAATGAGTGAGATTACTCCAATGAATGATGTACCTGAGAGCAATGGTACGATGGAGCAGCCTGCTTATAATGGTGAAATAGAGGAACACGCTGGTAAGTTCATTTATCACATTTATGATGTTTATGATTACTTTCACCAATGAAGAGTAAATTTCATTTCTCTTGATTCAACTTAATCTTAATTTTTTCTAGTTTTAATGTCTGTTTCTTACCAATGTAGATCAAATTTAATCTCAGTTCAACTTATCTTCAGCTTTTTCTAGTTCTAAGAATTAGAAAAAGGTGAAGAGTTAGTTAAACTGATTAAAATTAAACTATATTGGTACAAATGGGCAAATTTTAAAAGTTAGAAAAAGATGAAGATTAAATTGAACTGAGATTAAAATTAATCTACTATAGAAACAGACATTAGTATGACTTTGATTAACATAATTTAACCGAGAGAACAACTTATAGCAAAAAATTTATAATTCATACATAATTCATTGAATCACTAATCTAATCTTTCTGTGCATTAAACAAAACATTTTACATTAAAATAATACAGATATTAATTGATAAATTAATTGCTGATCCTTTCTGTTTCGTTAGTCAAATCTCCAGTAAGTACAGAAGAGAAAGCACCAGATTCAGTATGCGATAATGGTGTAAAGAGAAGTGCCACCGCCACTGGTAATACGCCAAATAGAACGAAGAAACGTAAAAAAGCCCCGAGAGACGCCACTGCGCCAAGACAGCCTCTGAGTGGTTACTTTCTGTAATAATCGAACATACAAATACTTTAATATAAGTTAAAATATTCTGTCTATAACGAAATACAACGTGTGTACAGGTTTTTAAACGATCGGAGAGAGAAAGTTCGAAATCAGAATCCAAGTTTAACGTTCACAGAAATCACGAAGCTTCTGGCTGCAGAATGGAGTAAATTGCCAATTGATCAGAAGCAGGTTTGTTGCTTTCTTACTGTATCTCATTTGTCTCTCTAATATTAATTTCTCTAATATTAATGCTAAATACTTTCAGCGTTATTTGGATGCAGCTGAACAAGACAAAGAGCGCTACAATCGCGAGTTTAGTGATTATAAGCAAACAGAAGCATACAGGTTGTTTAATGAAAAACAATCGGAGAGACAAAATGAAAATAAGAAGGAAAGAAACGGCACAGATATAAACACTGAACAGAATGTACGATGATATTACTATATTTAAGATTGTGACTAGAGGATAAGGACAATGACTTTACAGGCTTTGACATCCCTATTTTTACAGAAGAATTTCTAGATCATAACAAAGGTAAATAAGTTACTGGAATTACAATTAATCGGTAAAATACAATAAAATAGACAAATTTTAAAATAATTAAAATATTTGCGTAGCTTGTGAGGCTGAATTAAGACAATTGCGAAAAGCTACATCTGACTACGAAGCTCAGAATGCGGTTCTTCAGCGACACGTGGACAGTCTGCACGCAGCGGTGAATCGCTTGGAGTCCGAAACTAATCAACAACGAACGACTAATCAAGCTCTGCAGCGTCATTTGGATTCTCTTCGTTCTCAATTAGCAGGCTGCTTCGCCACTATACCGCTTCCAGGCGAGTTTCTATAAAAAATTCTATCACTAATCACGTGTCAGCTCGACATTTTATTTGTATAAGTATTTAATTTTTTATAGGCACACATGACGGTGCTACGTTACAAAATATCGACAGTTATTTTGAGAGACTGGAGTCTCTATTAAGCAGCAACGCTGAACAAAATCTACGTAACGCCGTACGTAGTGCTGTGTCTCGTCTCGAATTAGTTGGATGACGATCGCCTCCGGGCAATACAACCAGTGCGTCGTTGAAACATCATCGTTCGAGGCATTCACATCGAAAGTAGCGAGGAAAAGTTTAGGTGTGTTGTTTTTAGCGGTTTGTAAAAAAATCCCATGTTATATCTTACAATAAGATCGATGATTGCCAGTTATTTATGAGTGAGTTTATGTGTGTATTGTATTTAATTATTTGTGGTATTTTTAGTATATGAGACAATAATTTACACTTTATATACTTATTTTAATCAAAATTGAGTTATAAATATAATGATGATTTCATCAACTTATGTATCTTAACTTGATATGAATTTAATTTAATTTATGCATTTATGTATATTGAAATAGTTACATGTGCATTGAGATCAAATTCTTTTTAATTAATACCCAATGATTAATCTGAAAGTTTAAAGAATCTAAATTCAATATTATTTAGAATACTTAGCGCTTATTAAATTATTAATATATTTTTATCCTGTCACGAATTATTACCCATGTTCAGCATATGCTTTTTCAGTTGATTCGACATGAATCTGAAATTATAAGTTTTAATCTAACATCGTGTTATATAAACATAAAAATTATTTATAATTTAAAGATTTATGATTATTCTTACCTCAAGGATGCTGCATTGGGTCGATTATATTGTTCAGCATAAAGTATAATAGCTTCAATTTGCGGAAATATATTGATTATAATACTTTTTTTTATCGACAAAATAGATCGTATGAACTCAAATGTAAATTGCGTATTTGTCATCAAATATTTTTGCACTGCAGCAGAAATAGCAGTTTGGAATTTTTCCCTGAAAAGCCAAGGATTGATTATAAATTATATATTATATATACTTTTTTTAAATTTTAGATATAATATATATCGATATTTGTTCACCTGATGAATTTATCTTCCTCGTAATAAGGATTTTTTATTATATCATTGATAAAATCAATTGTGTGTAGTTTGTGTGGATGATGATCATGAACCTTCATGTAACACCCAAAGATGCTCGGAGAACAAATTTGGATAATATGTTCCGTAATATATTTGGGATACTTTCTTCCTTCTTTAAGCAATGTTTTTATAAGCCAAGTTATCTGTGTGAATGTATAATAAATATATTTGCGACACACTGTGACACTGAACAAGTAATTATACGATTGCATACCAAGTTGGAGTGTTTGTGTAAGGCGTTGTCGGATGATATATTATAAAAGTTTGACATCAACATTTCGAAAATCATACGTAGAAATTCGTTCTTTACATCCTTAAAGCATTTCAGCAACGTATCAGACACCTTAAAACTACAACCGCTGTTGACTTCAACTATCAGAATCGGCAAGTATTGATCGAAGATATCTCGGATCATTGCTTGTAATAATATATCACTTTTGACATTTAATTTCTCCAATCCGAGCATTATCATTGAGAATATCTTCTTTCCCAATTGCTTTATATACGACTGCGTAGAATTCTCTGGTACCAATATAATTTTATTGATGAGTGTTCTTAACATATCGTTTGGTTGATTCTGTGAAGGTAACATTTCTTTTAGAATATAAAAATTTCAGCAGCGATTAAGTTACGCATATTTTAGAATATTTACTTTAGTATATAGCATTGGAGAAATGCAGAGAATCAGTGTACCAAGACATCTATAAATCCAAAATGTAAGTTCCGAATCTTTTGTTTCCTCAGTTATAGGTATCATGATCCACTTCTCTAAATTTTTGAAATACGTTTTACATTTCGCGTTGTACTGATGCTTTTCTTGCTCAGACTGTAAAATTTTTCAGTTGTATTAATTTGTTTTTGGATTGAACAAAACATGCTGGATTCATAAAATTAATACCTTTAAAGTATTTAGTTTCTTCATGAACGATATTATGAATGTCAAAATAGATTCATCATTGTTCTTAAATTCGTACACATCATAATCCGACACAAATATTTCTTTAATCTCATTAAGATTGATAATGTAATTTTGCAGAATCCTTATATCTTCCTTGCTTACATTGTAACCAACAATGGAACATTTTATCCAAGCCTGAAACATATATTTTATTAATTCTCTTCTAATCGCTTTGCATCGTGTAATGACAAAACAAATTGGTACAAACTTGGATAAGAATAGTATCAAAATTCGGAATTTCCTTTTTCAAGTTTTGAACAGCTTCTTCATTCTCGAGAATAGATATTAAATAATACAGAGTAATTCTAAAGACAAGATAATTTATTATTATACTATTTTCAATAGATATTGATTTTCAGATAAAACATTTTTACCTTATATCTTTGACAAATATTGATGCTGCAAAGTGCTGAAATAAAGATATAGCTGAATGTTTATACTTCTTAGCAGTAGCTGGTTCTCTAACTGCCTCTAAGGTGAATATGACAGCTAGTTTGGAAATAATTTTATAATTGTCACCAGTAAGTACGGGATCGAAGACGAGTTGGCGAACTCTGGATGCAACGAAACACCACAGTGCGTCTAACATTTTTCTGGCACCATCTATAAGCATATTTTAGTGGGTGTTTATATTTTCGTCATATAAACTTGAATTTATCATACGAAATCATAATATTAATACATTTGAATAAGTTTTTACAAGAACGAAGGATCTTAATTTAAAAATATATTTGAAATAAAGACAAAAACATACCAACCCGAATTGTTACATGAAACTTGTAAGATGATACATTTTTCGAAAACATTCGCGATCATCTCCAATAAAGATCCAATTCTGTTCTTTTGACACTCCAAAAGATAACGATCGATCCAACCACCGATAAAATTAAACTCTCCTAGATCCATTTTCTCATTGCCAGCCAAAATCGTGTTCAATACATCCACAAAATTGATCATCATGGAACGAGATGTTTCATCCTTGCGACAACTTATCAAGTTAATCTGTAAAAAAAAATCAGAATTTATAAAATGTACATGATTTACATTTGTATAATTTACATGAGAAATGAAGCATACTGTTTCTGTAAAATGTCTAGCTATGGAACCAAGAGATAATTTTCTTTCATTGAACAGCAAAAGACACGCTAATTTTCCTTTCCAAATTAGATTGCATTTTTTATTATAATCGTTATTCAATTCAGATGTAGATGGCAGGAGATCTAACATTGTTATACACTGTAAAAACGTATATTAATAGACATCGTTAATGAAAAATTTAGCAATCGTATATATTTTTTAACTCACAACGTTTGTATCTGCGGTAATAGCTAATGTAATAAATAAAGATATGAAATTGTAGAGACCACTCTCCGAGAATTCTGCGACTTTATTTTTCGAAAATTTCGTATATACACGACCCTTAATTTGATTCCAGTATTTTAAGTCTGATGTACCGTATTTTTTCAAAAAGGTACCTAAAAGATTAACTTTCATGATACACTCAACACTCAAAATTTTTCATCTACCCACCTATCAAATGTAAGAAAATGCCATAACTGGATTCCTTGGAATGTTCAAACTTGCCATAAATTCTGTCATTAATCTGTTTCAAAATATCCGTAGCTGTCTTCCTAAAAAAAAAATATTCAAACTTTATTTATTTATTTTTGAACATATAACTACAATCTTTGTATATAAGCTACTTGAACATACTTTTCAAGAGACAGGGCCCAAGGCCCAGAAGTTTGTAGTAGAAACGGTTGATCTAATCTTTTGTGGAAACAGTCCCAAAGAAAAGATATAATTGGTACTCGCGGTTGCCACCAATTAATAATAAGATCGAGTAATAACGGTATTATGATCTTAAGCTCCACATCAAGCTCATCTCTTTCGCCATCTTTTCCACCTTTACATACGTATGCTTTTAGAATCTTTTCAACTTGTTCACAATTAGATTTAATCTATAAATAAAAAATATATCCGTTATACGATCTATGAAGTTTAATTTAATTTGTATCATAATTACCCTTGAAGAATTAAATTGCAGGTATATGCCATCATTACTATATCCATACAACAGAGACAGATGATATATTATCCAAATGCAAAACAATTCTGGATTTTTACAATCTGGCAGAGAGGAGTCCACGCTTCTGTGCCAGAAGATCACTTGGGACTGATTCTTAGTTAGTACTCTATCGATACAACTATTTACAACATCCCAAAACATCTAAAATTTGATTATAAGTATATCTACGAAATTATTACTACCTTGGTTATTATTATTAATACCTTAGTTTTTTTCCTTTCTCCTAAACTGTCGACAAGTATTTGAAACATGAGCCATAATTCTCGCGTGCACGTGCAACAGTATGGCGTTTTCTGCGTAAGGTCAACAGTCCAGTTTAAGGCTAACTAAACAAAAACGGAAATATAAAATATCACGTTTATATTATTACACAAACAAGTCAGATATTTTAATCATTTTCACCCTTTCAAATATTTTCAAGGTAGAATATAAGAGATCATTGATGACCATTTCAGCAGTAGTTTCAAACTCCTCCAGCTGTGTGTGATATTGGAACCATGTAGTTCTCGAATGCATTAATGTTACAAAGAACCACCTTAACTCTATATGCATGTGGTACAAATGAAACTCTGGCTGGTTACACTGAAACAGAAATAATAATAAGCGTTTTTGCTCGGCCAAAAAGACAATCAATTTTTTTAATTACCTTATTCCCTATATTAGAAGCAGCATAATGCAGAGTCGAATCTGGGATGCTATGTAAAGTGCTGAGAAAATGTTTAAGGCAATCAAATAGACTATCCACGTCTTTACCAATTTCAGGCATTACTATTTCTAACGCATTAAGATCCCATTTTATGCTACAATGTCAGAATATAAGACGAATCAATTATTGTAAAATTAAAATATTATAGAGATAAAAAAGCATTGCATTTACCTGTTCATGTACATACGGAAATATACAATAAATTCGCAAATCATCCTTCTTAGAGAAAAGTAATTTACATTATCATTATTGCATGATCCAGATATCGTAACTGGCCTCTCGTGTCTGTTTAGTATTTTCAATTGCATCCTGCAATAGAAAAATAAATGTAAAATTATAGATGGTGTAAAATCATATTTATTCAGTAGTCTTCAAAACATCATACTGAAGATTTTATTCTCAAGAAATATTCTTACTCCATGCAATTAATAAGATGTTTAAGATCCATTATGGCAATTGCTCCAGGCATGACGCAACCAAAAAGATTGACTTCCACGTGTGAAAAGGAATAGTTGGTTTGTGAAAAAAGCGTATTGTCCACCTCTCTGCGATAAAACAGCCCGGTCCTGCTTAGCTGCCAGTTGTTGATATTCACTTTGCCACTGCAGTCGAAAGTAGCATCAAGATCCATCTGTAATATTTGTGCTAAATCATTTATCAGTACATTATAAAATTGAAGTGATATTACAACAATATATTGGCTGCGTTCAGCAGAACACAAGTTTTGCAATCGTTTTATAATTGCTGAGTATCTAAAAGTATAATCCAATCAATGCGAAGAAAACTTCCAATAATTAACTTGCAAAACTTCTGCTAAATGTAGCCATTATAAGTATAAATTTTTTGTATACTTCTCTGTATTTACAATAATAGTTGTAAGATTCGCGTCGCGAAAAATTGCTCTCTCTCTCTCTTTCTCTCTCTCAACTAGCATTCGCGATCACCTCAGTTATGATCTGATCATAAATTGATAAGGCAAAAAAACTGATAGTAGGCATAAAAAAACTTGGCAGACTAAATTTGGGATGACAAAATATACAAGCCGAAATAAAACACATCCCGGTTCGCATCCGTCGTTAGATTGTTTAGACAAAAATTATGATGAAAAATATGTATTCCCACCACGTAAAAATTACATTTCAAGATCCTGATGAAAACTCCAGATATTGGGAGAGAGAGAACGTGTCCACGCCTGGACTAGCAGACGACTTTATGCGTTTTGGCGGCATCTTCAGTGGCGCTGATCACGTGAATCACTGGTGAACCGCGGAATCAATTGTGGGACAGAAGACGATTGAATTCGACTGACGGAAATCTGCGATAAAATATCACTATGTACAACTGAAACGTAATTTATCCGTTTTATTTTTTCGAGTTAAATTATCACATCTAAGTATATATATATTATAATTATTTTCCCTGAAATTAAACTATTATATTTATGAAAAATACAAATCAATTAGTTTCAGGTAAACGCAATGAAATATCGCAATCATGTGTGCTCCACTTTTTTCTCACGTTTTTCTCTCGTCTATTCTTTCACGCAATTCTTTTGTATTTCGGTTTCCCTATATCTCTCCATCTTTTCGCTTCTCGTCACTTCTCTTCGAAAGGTCGAGAGGAACTTCCCTTTCTTCGCCGCAGCCGCACGATTTCCAGAGGCCGCATTCAACGCCGTTGTTTACAAGCTCGCGCACAACGTCGAAGATGGCGGCAAAAGCGAGGAGCGCGTCGGACGAAGCGGCCACGTGCGCGTGAATATACACAAAGGTAGGACGCGACGAACCCAACGCTGCATCGCTCGTTGTTGAAGCGATCTACCCGTCAACGAGACGTGTACCAGACGCGTGACACGCGCGCTCGAATTTGACCTGATCGCTCGTCCAGTCGGCGACGACGACGACGACGACAGCTGAGAAGATCTCGTGCCTGTAGACCTGATGACTCATCCGCTTGCGATCGGATGACGATGCTTCTATAAGGAAGAACGACAACATAGACACGGAGAATCCTTGGACCACACTGGTTAACATGAATACTTTTAAAGATCTCCATGAGGAGGTACGTTGCATCCTCTCGTTGCGGCCTCTCCTAAGCTAGCAGGTTCTATTTAGGAAGCATAGGTTAGCTCTTCCATGTCAGATTTGTATTTTAGTCTGATGTGGATGTTTCTCATACGCTTCTATAGATTCTATCCTTGTTCCTGTGAAGCCTTAATACACGTTATCTATTGTATGTATATTCTTGAGAATTTTTTAAAATCAAGTTCCTTTGTTTTGGAGGATGTACGAAGGCTAATGGATTTTGCTCGTATTTTGATTATGTACAACGTATTATTATGTTTTTTATAATTTACAAGTGTTTTTAGTGAAGTTTAGATTATATCTGCATTTTTGATATTTCAAAAATTTCTATTCTTTAATCTAGATGAGATAAAGAAAAATGAACTTGTAATTGTTTATTTTTACAGCCTTCTTTGTTACAAGCTATATTTCATGGAAATGTGGAAGTAGTTCGTACGTTGCTGTCGCAAAAAGAGGATGTTAATTGGCAAGACAAGGAGCAGCGTTCCCTTTTACATGCAGCAGCATATAGGTTAATATCTTAATTAAAGAAAATGCTGAAAGTTTAATAATGTCCGCAAAAAATCCATTTCTATCAATATATATTAACTTTAATCTTTTCAACTTAATCTTCATCTTTTCCTAATTTTAAAACTAGAAAAAAAAATGAAGAATAAGTCGAATCAAGATTACAATTTATTTATATTATTAGAAAAGGTCCATTTGAATATAGATTAAGTAGTTTACTCTTTTTATCTGTTTCCAATTCTTAGAATTAAAAGAATATAAAAAAATAAGTTAAACCAAGTTAACATACATTGGTAGAAAAAACGAGCGCGGACTAGAAGTTATTTTAATTATTATGTAATTAAAATGGCATTTATGTTTCAGAGGAGACACTGCTATTGTAGAACTTCTCTTGTTAAACGGTGCAGCAGTCAACAGCAAAGATAAAAAGTGGTTGACTCCTTTGCACCGAGCCTGCTGTTCGGGAAATTACAACGTAGTTGACGTTTTGTTGAGATACAAAGCGGACGTAAATGCTCGAGATCGTAGTTGGCAGACGCCTCTTCATGTAGCAGCTGCAAATAACGCTGTGCAATGCATAGAACTTTTAATGCCACATTTGTTAAATATCAATGTCTCAGACAGGTGCATACTTTTGATTGTGTCATTATTGTACAATAATTATCTCACAATTGAAAATTATAGATTTATAATAAATTATTGACAAGTATTAAATACATACATATAGATTATTGTTAAATTTGTAATTTCTGCAGAGGCGGGAAAACATGTCTTCATCATGCGGTGTATAACGGACATCTTGAAATGTGCGAATATTTAATGCAATTTGGTTGCGCGATAAATGCCTCCGACAAGAAAGACCGAAGGGCTTTGCATTTTGCGGCGTACAAAAGCCACAATGAAATTGTGAAAGCGCTAATAGCCAAAGGCGTTGAAGTGGATGTTAAAGTACTAATTTGTTATAAAATTAACTAACTTGTTTTTTATCCTAGATGTAGTAAATATTGTACGTTTTTCTATGTTTAGGATCGAGATTTATATACTCCGTTACATGCAGCAGCTGCTTCTGGTAATGTAGAATGTGTACACATTTTAATCAAAGCTGGAGGTGATATCGAGGCCAAGAACGTGTACGGAAATACACCGTTACATATCGCATGTTTAAACGGATGTCCGCTCGTGATTAAGGAACTTATAGCTAATCGCGTTAATTTAGGTGGGCCATTATTAGGATTCTGAACATCTCGATTCGTGACATTTAAATAAACGTTATATTTGTTGTTCACAACAGAGGCCGTAAATTATCGAGGGCAGACAGCGTTACACGTTGCTGCTGCCAGTGTACATGGTGTTCACTGTTTCAAGATGCTGATCTACAATGGGCTAAAGGTCAACGTTCAGTCGGAAGACGGTCGTACACCTTTGCACATGACTGCGATCCACGGAAGATTTACGAGATCCAAAACATTGCTAGATGCAGGAGCTTTTCCAGACGCGAGAGATAAAAATGGAAATACAGCATTGCATATTGCCGCCTGGTAAATCACCTGTGGACATAAGACTTTGTGATTTGAACAAAATTATAACAATAACAATATAATTATAACTTCAAATTACAGGTTTGGCTTCGAGTGTTTGACGACATCTCTATTGGAAAGCGCTGCATCTCCAGCTACACGCAATGCACAGCAACGTACACCTTTGCATCTGAGTTGCCTAGCGGGACATATAGAAGTAAGCCATATATTTTTTCGGTATCTGTATTACAGCTACTTTCCTTTTGGGAGACACAGTTGATGCAAAACATCGTTCTATATTTCTTTGCATTCGATAATAAAGATACAATGAAACTTATATCATATCTCTTAAAAAAAAGCAGCCTACATTTGATTTATATTATGAATGTCTTTGATTTGGTTTTATTGTACCGTAGGTCTGTAGAAAATTATTGCAACTCGATAGCAGGCGAATTGACGCGCGAGATATCGGTGGCAGGACAGCTTTACATTTGGCAGCATTTAAGGTAGCGCATCACTTTTAATCTTTTATTATAGTATATTTAATATAGTATTAATATTTCTTGAATTTAATAGCATAAATCGATGTGACAAGAGAAAGAATATATTGGGCTTATTTTAAACAGGGTTCGGTAGACTGCTTGGATTTGCTGTTGTCTAGCGGTGCCAATTTTCGTCTTGTCGACAACGACAATCGATTGGCTCTTCATCATGCTGCATGTCAAGGACACTACCCTTGCGTCTTCACTCTGGTTGGATTCGGTAGCGATTCGAACGCTCAAGACGTGAATGGCGCAACGCCGTTACACCTGGCTGCAGCAGCATCGAATTCTAATGCTCAGTCAGTATTGTTTCCTCCCTAGCGAGTCAATTTCTCAAATTTATTTGTCTATATGATTTATTTTAATTTCATGCAGATCTTTCAAGTGCGTACAATACTTGCTGCAGCATCGAGCAGATCCGCGTTTACGTGACAAACGCGGTTTTACTGCGATCCATTACGCGGTGGCTGGTGGCAACAAAGCGGCACTAGAAGCGCTTCTGAATGCGTCATCGTCGCCTTCAAATTTGACCACTTCACTCAATTCTTCGACCGGTCAAGAACCATCCCTGCCGGCACTCACTCCGATACATCTCGCGGTACGTAAACCCAAAAGATACATAAATTTAAATCAAAATTCATATTAACCTTAATCTAAAATGAAATTTTAGAATTTAATATGACGTATCAAAAAATTGAAAAATATTTGACGAATTTATTCGCTATGTTGAATTTTGCATTTTTTTATTCATTTTTTCACTTTATAAAAATTTTTATTATAAAAATATAATTTTTATATAATTTTTCATTACTTATACACAATGAATTGTTTTTTTCTAAGAAAAACGCTACGAATTAATTCCAACACCTAATATATTACAAATTAAAGTGTATTAATTTGTGATATATCTTTCATTTAAATTTATAACCTTATAACTTTATTAGTTTATGTGTACCTCAATTAATTAAAAAAAAATGCGTTTTTTCGTTTTAATTTTTTTGTCTGAAAGCATATTATTTAATTAATTAAAATATCATTAAAAATGATAGTTTTTTCTTAATTTAAATTTCTATTATAAATATAAATTATATCAATATTATAAGTATAAATTATATCAATAGGTATGTGCATATTAATAGTTAAGTATAAAAAAAACATTAAAAAGATTAAGGAGAAAAAGGTGGGACATATTTGTCCCACTGTCCCTGTAAGGGTTAACAGGCATATCACGGTCACGATGAGATCTTGCAGCTGCTTTTGCCCTTGTTCCCTAATACGAATATCAAAGAAGATAGCGGAAAGACGCCGTTAGACTTGGCTGCCTACAAGGGGCACAAACAGTGCATCATACTTCTGTTGCGATTTGGCGCTTCCGTGGCAGTGCAGGTGAGAAGAACCTGGATTTTTCGTTTGGTAAACGTACATTCACACGCGTAACACTAATATTGTGTTTCCAGGATTCTGTTACGAAACGCACACCTGTGCATTGTGCCGCTGCCACAGGTCATGCGGATTGCCTGGCTCTTCTTCTGCAGAACATGGATGATCCCAACGTGGTAAATTGTTACGACTCCAAACAACGCACTGCTTTGACGCTGGCGGTAGCGAACAACTTTCCGGAGTGTGCGATGCTATTGTTAACATACAAGGCCGACTGCAATTTGCCGGATGTCAATAAGCACACGCCATTATTTCGCGCTGTGATCAACGAACGCGATAATCAGCTAGTGAAACTTTTATTGAAGCATGGCGCTCAAGTAGCTGTGCAAGATGTGAATGGTAAAACTCCGTTACATTTAGCATCGGCTTGTGGCAGGTAAGAAATTAGGTTTATACAAAATTTTTCGCTGTGATCTAGAATTGCTTTACATCCCGTTTGTTTGTAGATTGTACGCTTTAGCTGCACTCGTTAAAGCCGATCCAACTGCAGCGGCTTTGAAGGATGATCAAGGCTGCACGGTGCTCCACTGGGCTTGTTATAATGGCAATTCGAATTGTGTGGAATATCTTTTGAATCATAACGTGTTCGATTCCTTGGAAGGCATGTAGCTTCTCATCCTTTGAAGACGATTATCCAATGTAATATTTCAAGCTAACTTTTTAATTATTTACAGGTAATCCATTTTCTGCCGTACATTGCGCTGTATATCAGGGATCTGCGCATTGTCTAGACTTGCTGATCAACAAATTTGGCGGCCAAGCGGTTGCTGCTCCAAGAGATTCATCGTGTGGTTTATTACCATTGCATATCGCGGCAAGCGCAGGATCCGTTGAGTGCGCGCGATTAATTCTGAATTCCGTCGGGCCGGAATTAGCCGGTCTTGAGACGACCGATTATTTCGGACGGACGCCACTTCTTTGTGCGGCTGTCAATGGACAGTGTAACGCTATCGGTAATTTAATCGCTCTATAATGAAATTATACTTTTATATTATTTTCGAGATAATCTCATATTAATAAGATGCATCCTGTAGAATTATTGCTCGAATGGAAAGCCGACGTGCGCGCTATTGACTCCAATAAGAATACGGCACTGCACTTAGCGTGCCAGAGACGTCATTCCGCCGCAGCGTCGTTGCTTCTAAACTGGATTGAATCACTCGGTAACTCTGGTAACTCTGATTCCGATAAGAACACGTCACAATTGCAGCGCGTTTCTGTCATTAACATGATCAACAAGCAGCAAAGAACGCCGTTGCATCTGGCGGCGAGAAATGGTCTCGTGACGGTAAGCAAAAAGTGTTGATGATACCAGAAATGTAACAGCTGACATTTTCTGAGAAATATGTTTTGTTCAGATTACGCGACGATTATTGCAATTGGGCGCAAGTGTTATAGCTGTCGATGCTGATGGGCTCACGCCCGCATTAGCCTGTGCTCCAAATCCGGCAGTGGCCAAGTGTTTAGCGACTATCCTTTCCGCGCAGGGTAATATTTCATTTTATCCATTATACATATTGTAAAAAATATATATATTCATGTATGCATATATAATATATAAGATCGCGCTATTCCTATCAGGTCAAAACGGGGAAACCACGCAATACTCGCCGGCTATTCAGCACACGTTGGAGGTATACCTGAACGGCGTGGACTCGCAACACAGCTCCGACTCGGAGTTTTACTGACAACGAGTGTCGACACGCTCGAACCGCCAAATGTTCCGAGCGAGAATGAATGTCGGCTCGAGACGCGGCTACATTGATGCCGCTAGACTGATCTTGATGAGCTGCTGGCTCTTTTCCGTTCTAGTATAATTAACTCTGACGTGACGGGTGAGGTTGCCATATAGGCGGATCTTCCATGGTGCCGCGTCAATCATGACAATACTGGTGTCTGTGCTATCGAGAAACTCGATAGAGCAGCTAATCGACTGCCAAGAGGGATATGGATGTACGTAAACAATGTAAGTTAATCAGTTACTTAATAATAGTCGATAAACTTAGGTATACTTAGAAAATGATCGAACTGTACAGAGTATTCAAAGTCAACTTTCTGTTTGTGTAATTAGGCATTCACGAGGTATAATATTGTCTTATAAAAATCCAGTGTTATAATTTCATTTTAAAATCTGTCAATTAGAAAGAATGTATGATGATATTTATGTGCGTATATCATCTGATATCGATCGTATTATGTTGTATGATTAACGATCGGTAGAATGATTAATGCGCTAAATTGAGATGACGCCCGCACGAAATCCGGGTTTGAATCCCGGCTGAAGTAGTATTTTTCGCAATAAATTATTTATATATAGTGTTTTTAAGCTGCTTATTAGCATCGATTATTAACAACTTTCTAAGATACTGAATTGCATTAATAATATTAATTTTATTTAATTTTAATAATATAATTTTTTTGCTTGTCAATTTAATTTGTGATATTACTACTTTAACTTTGATTTAAGACTATGTTTCAAGATCGATGAATAATCGGCGCACAGTTTGCTTGGACTGGATTTTGTATAAATTCATAAATATCATTAAGTACGAAGAACCGCCTTGATCGAATATGGCATTTTTCATTCATATGTGCTTAATGCGCTGTCAATAATTCTCAATTATTTATGGGTGTCTTCCAACAAGCAAGTGTAACACATCATCTCATTGTTTAACATTGACGAATAACAAGGATATGATGCACCATGTCATGTATGTCTCTTGTTGGAAGGCATCCTATGTAATTAATGTATTCAAAGATGGATTTATCTGACAATGAAATATTACCGTAAGGCGTATCTTTTTCATTAGAGAGAGTAATTACAAAATTTTGCCATTAGCACTGAATTATATTCCTCTAGAACATTATCCCACGTATTGAAGTTAATTTACTTTTAACTCTAGCAAAATATCAAGATACATGATATCTATTTTTCTCTCTTAAATCTTGCATATAGATATGTATCTCTCTTATACATAGTTGAGAACGAGATCTAGCTTTGCTGTACGCATTTGTGCAGTTTTCATCTCTTGTAATTTACAATATCTAATATAATAATTAACGCACATATATATATACATATACATTTCTTATATTTCGAGCGATATGTTTGCATAATTTTTTTAATCGCGTTGGTTAATAATAAAACGAATAATAATAAAATTTTCTCACAATCGCGAGTCTCAAATATGGACCACAAAGAATAATAATAATAAAAAATTGCGAATACAAATAATAATAGTTGCGTTAAATAAGTCTCGATTGCAATTATAGATCTAACAATGAAACAGTGGCGTATCATCAGTTTTATAGTTGAGTGTTGAGAAATGTAGCAATAAAGAAAGGCGCAATTCGTTTGTTATGATAGGGAACTAGATATCGGTGCAAATATTGATAAAAAATATAATGTAGACAATGCTCAATTGATTGCATTTACTGAATTAGATCGTTTTGCATTAGTTAGCCGGACGTCTTCCATTCTCAGTAGTAGTCTTAACTTAAAATTTTAATGCATATTCTCTGCGTTAACGCCACTCGTATTTTATCTACGTTTATATGAAACGATTTTCCTTCGGATTATTTTATATACTTTTTTCCCACGTTTTTAACTCGGGAATCGAAGTTCAGGTCGAACGTTCGCGGAAATTTGACGATTTGATTTATCATAAAAACCGTAAGATTGATGTATAAAGGAAAAATACCGAAAGTATGAATGTTTAATTATCAATGTCTTAGCGCTGTAAATATATCGAAGGGAACCGAATTAACCCCCTCTCGACTACTCTGTACAACAGAGCGGTGCGACGAGGAAGAGAATCGAATATTTAGCTATTTTCTTAAAGATTTGTAGTAAAGAGCGTAAACTGCCTGACTGTAATTGTATGTCGATTGAGAAAGTATAGTTTGTAAATGTAAAATATATAACGGCCGATCGAGGAATTGAATCGGATTATATTGTTTTATTTTTACATTTTATTTTTAAATGTTTCACATGCTTTTTATGCTCTCCGTTAACATTTTGATCGTCGCAGTAATCTACGTACATCGTGACTACATTTTCTTGAAAATCATGGCATTTGAATGTTAAAAAGAAATTTGGAGATGACAGGGCAATAGGAGTCGGTAATCGTTGCGCAATTAATATACAGATATAACACAAAATTCTTTATTATAATAACGCGCTTACATGTTTCGGCTGATTTTTGAGCTCTCTTCAGTAACATAAATAATCTTTGTATTGCGAGATTAATTTAAGATTTTAATTTTATTTATTAGTATGAGATATATAATCGATATTTAAAAAATACATATAATAAAATACATATAACAAAATCACTTAATTTGTAATCGTCAAACGCCATAATTTTCAAGAAAATAGAAGTATCCTGCGTAACATCAATCAGTATCAAAGAGAATATTCATCGCAGTAATTGTCTCATTATTTTTGTACTTAAAATTCCCTACAATTTTTGCATTTAATAAATTGTAAATATGATCTTTAAGCGACGGTATATACATACTGACGATCTTAAATGCTAAATGTGATCGATATTATATAGAAAATCGTGTAATTCATCGATAAGAAGACGTCGTAGTTTTACTGTATATATAAATTTGAATCATTGCTTGCGCGTGATAATTACGTGGTTAATGAAATCGTTGGTACTGAGAAATCACGATCTCCGATTTGTACATGATTTTGTATTTGTGACTGTTTTATAAAAACAGAAATACGAGAAGAAAAATTGGATACGTCGTGTGTTATTATCAGACGCGTGAAACTCCACATCACTGTAATATGTACATATAATAATCGAGAAAATTATTTTTTCTATACCCCTTTCTCTCATACAATTTCACAGAATATACGTGGGCAGTTTAATAAGTCATTAACTTTTTAAAAGGAGACTACGTTGAAAAATAAGTCGAATTTTAGTAAAAAGAAAGTTTAAGAAAATCACTGACTTGTCATACCGCCCTCGTAATACCATTACATTTTAAGGGGTTACACCAATATGTATCTGTATCACGAACATTTGTAATCAATATACGTCATTACGTTTTATTTTCACACATTGTTGCTCAGTATTGTATTGAAAGACTTTGTCCCTGAAATGAATTTACTTCTCATACTCCTTTCGCTCACAATTCTTCAAAGTCTTCAATCAATCTAGAAATTTAAAGCGTACGTGGAAAGAAAATTATTACTTACACAGAGCCATTCTCAGTATTATACTCATTTTATTTTCAAAATATCGAATCTTTAATTTATATCAATAAAATTTCGTTAAAAATTCAATAAGTTTATTTAAGACTCCTGAATAGTTACCACGGCCATATTGAATCGTGACGTTAAAAGTGAGAAATAACATGTTAATTTTTATTAGGTGTCATTTTTAAATAAAGACAATTAATATATTAAAATTGGATAAAACAAAATGATGAGAGCGCTTTAAAACAATATAAAAACTATTATTTGTTTTTTAATATGAAGAAATGGCTTGCGGAAAAGAAATTTTCATCAAATGAAATTATCACCGAAATAATTGCTTATTTTGAAGAATTTGGATAAATCATACTATTATGGAGGGAATAAAAAAATTTGACCATCGCTAGACTAAATGTATAAGTTTAAAAGGAGATTATGTTGAAAAATAAAAAAGATTTTTTTTAAATAATTGAATCTTTATTTTTGCATGGATTTATCGAACGGACTATCAGCCATCGTATATATTACGTGATTAATATTAACCTATATATTAAAATTTATTTAATTAATATTTATTATTTGGCAAAAGTATATACATTTTTGATTTGTACAAAAAAATTTGCATTATTAGAAATAAAAAGACAGTGCTGATGAAAATTATACAAATAGAGTGAAAATGTCTGTTTGAAAAATTACAGTCATTTATGTAAAATATAAAGTATATACATACACATATATATATATATACATATATATATATACATATATATTATATACAATTGTGCATAATGTTATTATAAAAATATTACCAGATAAGTAATTTTAATCTTTGAAACTACATTTCCAGGAATGTTCGTAATACTGAAGGAACATTTGGCAACAACAGATAAAATGGCATTTATACTAATGACTGATTAACTCTCAGCTTATCAATTGTATAACATAAATAAATAATTATCCTAGATATAATTTAAATATCCTCTAGACATAATATATAAAATTGCAAATAGGAATTAGTTTTAATAAAAGTTCTTCTGAATTCCTCGTATCAAACGTGTACGTGATCAAGCGCGATGCCAATTACGACTCGTTGATCGCGAGTCAATTTCTTTTCGGAAACTTCGATATCTTTCTCCAATTTCTCCGGAGACAGTTCCAGGCAGAAGTTGTCGTAGACATACGCGTTTGCCGCGATATTTGATTGCTTTTCTTCCGAGATCGACGTGAATCGCTGGAGGGTGATGTTCTTCGGTTGGGACCACGCGTTAGAAAAGATCTTGCCGGCATATATCGAACTGTCGTCATTCGATCTGCTGGAGAACTTCATCTCGATATCGTCAAGGCTGCGTCCCCGCGTTTCCGGCAGTATCGTTAGAGCGAAGATCGCGCCCAGCACGCTGACCACACCGAATATCCACATAGTGAACTCTAGACTGACAATAGCCTTTAAATCCGGATATGTCTTGATTATTGCGAACGATAATATCTGCGCAATGCTGGTTGTGAAACCTCCAAGACTGCCTCTACATCTCAACGGGTACAATTCCGAGGTCATAACCCACGGTAACGTGAGAAAACCGATCATGGACATGCCCACGTGGATCCCGATGCAAAGTAATGGCATCCACGATGGGAGTTCGAACCTGATAAAGGAAGTTGTATTATTTCTAAGAATAAGAAAAAACGAAGAACTTTGAAGATATTTAAATTAAAAGTGCCAAACGAATATTTTATAACGTTATAATATTATCTGTTGTCAATGTAATTTTTTATTACATTGAAAATGATCCAATTAGGGCGAAACAATTGTAATAGATTGCACAATTGTTATTAATTTGTTTATATTTATATTTGAGCATTAAAGATCTTGCTTTGCTCGTAATTCTTTTTATTCTTTTTAAATTCTTTTTATTTATCGTTTCTCATACATTATACGAGAACTTGTAAAACTCGAAGAAGTTGAAATGTAAACCTGAAATAAAGGGCGACTCCCATGGCGGCGATAGCCATTCCAAAACTGCTGAAGAAGACCAGGATCTTCCTGCCGAAGTTGTTGGCCAATCCAGCTCCGAGGATTGACGCAAACAGCCTGATGACACTCATGCCGACGCTAGCCG